TAGTAGGTCATCATCATTCAATATACTAATAAGACAATGAAGAAGAAGCCAAAGAGACAAACCTTAGCAGAAGCAGAAGACAAGGAAAGGGTCTTAACATTGCACATCCCATTAATGGTCTTAGAATATAGATGACTATAAACATCATAATTCTCATGTGTATGAACATCTAGTTTTGCTTCTATAAGAGAATCCAAGAAACTGTCACTTAGATTGAGAATAGGAGCGAAACCAGAGTAGTTGAAGGAAACAAGACTCGGTGTGTTGAATCTCATGAATCGAGAGGATTTAAGACAGTTATTGTAGTGAACCGTGAGTCTCTTTAGGGTTTTGTGGGATATAAAGAATGGTTCAACTAGACCATCTGGTTTACCGCATAAGCAATGTAAGGCTAACTCCTCAAGTATTGGACAATTAGGAAGCATCAAACGACACAATCCTTCACCTCGAAACCAAACTTCATGGATAAAGAGACTCTTTAGCATTGGAAGAAACACTTTTGGATATAATCTTCGATGATCACCAAGATCTAACCCTAATGTTAGCTTAACCAGTGTCTTGTTTGAGAAGACACTAGAAGGAAGATGTCTTGCCTCATGAGCCAAACTCGTATATAAACGCAAATCAAGATCCACTAGGCCTCGTTCCAAGGCATTGCGTATCCATTGCTCGGTAAGATCGAGACCGGTAAGAACATTTTGACGTTTTAGTGAGAGTTTCTTTATGGAAGTGAAACCAAAAAGTGTTTTATCCACGAAGTCCTTGAAGCTCTGGTGAACAACTTTACTCTCTCTTTTACAAGTTTTCTCGGGATCGACTAAATCAGAATCGTCAATATCGAAACGATGTTGAGATCCAAAGAGATGAATCATCAATGGAAACAGATTCCTCCACCTTTTAGAGAGAAGACATGTGATTATAGCTTGTTTAGTTGGAAGAAATAACAAGATCCGAGCAAGTATCTCATCTGGAAAAGAGCTTATTGCATCTCTAGAGCTAAATTTAATCCTGTTAGCTTCCATGAGACTCATAGATCCAAAGCCCTAGTAAAGATCTCCTATCTTCTTCCCCAAGTAAGCAGTGTGTACTCCCAAAAGTAAACCCTAAACCAAACTAAGATGTGATTCGAAGACGACTTATTGTACCTTTTCGACCTAAATCGTGGAAATGGAAACAAGTTTGTAGGGGGAATCTCAATTTAACGAATTCAGCGAAGTTTTGAAGTTGGACAAATTGGGCTTGATGGGCTTTAATTGGAAATATTGGGCTTTACAGCAAATGAGGAAACAGGGGAATGAAGTGGTGATGAAGATGGACTTACGGCTTACTCTAATTTTCTACATCTTATTTTGAGGATCTTTATGGAATGAAATCCTCATTAATAAAACTGTCCTTGTATGGTATTAAAGTTTTGAGCAGCCTACTAATGGCTAACTAGCACGACACGTGTCAAAATATCATATGAGCATGATCCGAATATTTAACAAATCATGGTCAAGACTCATGACGATGATCAGCAATAGAAAACCCTAGTCCTCATAGACAAAGGGAGAGAAAAAAAAAGGGGATTGAGTTTACTCCCTCTTCGATGCCCGGTGTTTTTGCCGGCATCGTGAAAAGGAGAGGATTGTAAACTAGTAGTTTCTATATATGAAGTCTAGAGAGGATATCCATAAGTTTTTGGTTAGAAGACGATACGATGTTATTCGCTGTCTGTATGAGTTCTTGTGATTTCTTCGATTGGGTTTAGTTTTTTCGGGTGAAGTCTTTAGTTGAGGTTTTGTCCCTCGTAGAAGATCTCTTTAATTTCTAGTCAATTTTGACTATCTATTTGATTTAAATTTTGCAGTTCAAACTTGTTCAACGACGGCTTCACTCAAACTAACTCGTAACATAATTGATAAAAAGCAATCAAAGAAGAAGATTTATCTAAATTAAAAGAATTTTTATCATGTTATCGTAATGGATTTTGGAAGTCCGGCTACTATTGTGGATTCGGGAACATCTAATTATCTACCTTCGATTCAAAAGATGATCATATTTGTATCTCTAATGTGTCGTCAACAATTATTATGCTCACTTAATTTTCGGTGCGGAAAAGATCATTAGTTTTTTTTTCTTTATATTTTGAACTTCTTCTTTAATGATGTAATATATTTTAAATCACTTTTAATAAAATAACGTGTTTAAAAAAAAAAAAACTTATGACGACGATCAAATTCGGATTTGCGAGAGAAATAATGCGAAGGCTCGATCGTTCTTTTCAAAAGTTGAAGTGTCAGCAATACACTTCACTAAAGTAAAATAAAGTAGATCTATGTCTCAACGAATTCACTTACGATAAA